TCAGCATCTTAGCCACTGAGCCACCGCGTCCCCTACAATTAGATATATCATTCACTACAATGTTGGAGATTTCTATTTGGCTAAAGAACCTATTTGTAAAGAATTCTTTGAAGAGTTCTTCAGAAAGCACTGAGATGAGTTGCAGAATAACAGAGTTGGGAGAGATCTTCTAATCTAACTCCCTGCTCAAGCAGGAGACACTTCACCATTCTGGACAAAGTGCCCAATCACTTCTTTAAAACTTCCAGTGATAAAACACCTACAATTTTTGGAGGGAAGCCCTTCCAGTATTTAACTGTTTTCACTGACAGGAAACTTTTCCCTAGTACAAGGTTAGATCTTTCCTTGATAAATTTCCATCTGCTATTTTTCGTCAAAGGTGCAAAATAGTCGTAGTTGCATCATACAATGTGTGGGAATGGGATTTCCCAATTCTTTTCTGGTCTTTTCTTTTGAAGGAGATAGTTTCAGTTAAGCATTATTTTAAAGTTTACCACTCAATTATCATATCTTTCCACTTCAAAATAATGGGAACAGCACCATATATTTTCAAGAAGTGCACCTCTGAAATAGAGCAGCATTTGGAGGAATGGCTCTAAAGTTATAAAAAGGGGGCAAAAAGGTTTAAGGTTTTAAAACAGAATGGGACAACAAGCACTGTTAAGGAAACATGAAATACATCTAAAAACTGTGTTTGGAGATCTTTGTTTGCTTTTGTAAATATGTTCTGAGTTGCACTTCTGATTAATTTCCTGTCAATGATGGAAGACTCTGATTCAGAAGAGATTTTTTATCAGCAGAATTGAGAAAGAGATGCTTTTCGGCAATGCCATTCAACTTTTTCCTAAACCTAGCCGTTACTCCCTCTTAACTTCTCCTATAAGGACAGGGAGCCTCGGCAACAATATAACAATAAGTAAAAAGCACAGAGAACTGTTGGAGAATAACCTTCCAATATAGCCCATAGCAGATAGATAGATAGATAGATAGGTAGGTAGGTAGGTAGGTAGGTAGGTAGGTAGGTAGGTAGGAGGTAGGTAGACAGACAGACAGACAGACAGACAGACAGACAGACAGACAGACAATGTTTCCCCAAAAATACAACATGTCCTGATAATAAGGCCATGCCACATTTTTTGGGTGGGCAAAAATGTAAGCCCTCCCCCTAAAATAAGCCCCCTGGACAACCCCCTNTAATGTTTTTATTGTGTCTTTTGAATAGCATGTAAATGTGGCTTATTTCTCTGGGTCAAATGATGGCTGATTTGTCTGAATGCAAAACTTCCAGATATCCGTAACATTTCTGGATTCAGTTTAGTCTAGGATTCAAAAGAGACAGTAAAAAAGCTAAGGAGGAAACAAAAAGACCAGAACACATTCTTCTCTAGCAGCCAAACACCTGGATAAATAGGGATAAACACCACTTAAGCAATCGGGCAAAATATGCTATCCTAATCTAGGAACTACTGCAAAGAAAGCCACATCCTCATCAAAACTGGTAGGGAAAGCAACTATATATACAGTAAGTTGGGTGCAAACCCCATACTTACTTGCATTGATGATGTTACCTAGCTGACTAATGAAATGTCTGCAAGCAAACTACAGTTTTCCTCTACATTGTATAAATGGGAGTAGGATCTGAACCTACCATATTATTAGCAATTTCTACACAAAGGTGACATGACTTACTTTGAGCATTTTCTTGTTTTGTGAGTTTTTGCCACACTCCCTTCTTAGTTGTTCGCTCATAGCTTGTAATTCTCTGCCAAAGTGAATCATTCTTTCAATAGCTGCTTGGCTACCACCACACAGTTGACGTCTTAACTGACTGGAATCCACCTCTTTAAGAAAAACAAGGTAGTAATTAGATAATGATGAAAGCAATGCAGGTATGGGACATGTTCAAATTTAAACCAGTATTTATATGTATAACATATACAGTATTTATATGATTGCTGTACATTATGATAACATAATGATTACTCTCTCTCTCCCTCTCCCTCTCTCGCCAGCCATCAGTGACAGTTAATGAGAACTTCTCACTAACTGTATTCCTACAATGTAAATTGGTCTGCTAAAAACATTTACGGAGTTTGAATGTCAGTTGGGGGTTTGTCTGTGTCTCCCTAGTCTAAATTCAACACCTTCACCACTATGCCATACTACCCTCCCAGGAAACTTCGTATGACATACCAATTGAAAAAAAATTCAAGGACGCAAATGCCCAGGGTAAAAAAGTTTTTACTGCTTTTCTGAAATCACCAAGGAATACAAACACCAACCGATACTTTGAAAAAGAGTTCTATGAAGCTGAGACCAAAGCCAAAAGCTGTGGCAAACTGAAGATCCTCTGCTTCTCTGGAATATACATGCTTGAGATTTTTTTGGGGGGAGGGGTGGCTTGGGGAGAGGGGAAAAGGTTAAGGAATAAAATAGCTTCCTTGAACCTGAACAACGAAGGCTTATTATATTATTCTATCCCTTTATAAAATAAAGAGAATCAGGGAAATTTGGAAAATCCTTCAGACAAACAAAACCGCTGTTTTAAGCCTCTTATTAGGCTTATTTCAGTCCTTGGGTGAAAAATGCACACGACATTTTTGCAGGTTGCAAATGTTGCTCTGCAATATAGTCTCTTTAAGTATCTGTTTGTATCTGTTCACAGCTTTTTACCGTGTTTCCCCGAAAATACATGTCCTGATAATAAGGCAAAATGTAAGCCCTCCCCTGAAAATAAGCCCCCTGGACAACCCCCCCCCCTCCAGCCAGGCAGAGCGCCACTCACCGACCTAGCAGTATCCTGAAGGCACCAAGCCACAGGAACCTTTGCCCCCCCCCCCCCCCCCTCCCTGGGGTTTGGTGCTTTCGGGATCCTCGTGGGGGGGGGGGGGGGGGG